GTCTCGATCACTATTGCATGCTATTACCCGTCCCATTCCTATCAGTCCCGGAGGAGTTTAGGACTACTATTCCTAAGGGGAAGGGATATTAGACCGATTTTGATTTCAAAAGTTAAAAATCTAAGGCGACATACAAAACATATAATATTGCATGTTGGGGGAAGCATGTAAACAGATAAAGGCCCATGCATACCTCCTCAAACAAAACACATAAATAGCATGACTTGCACATACTTTTAAGGTCTGATTAAAATACTAAAGACGAGGGGAGTTAATTATTGAAGCAGATTAGTTTATTACATAACTCAGATAAGAAGTCCAAATCAGGCCTGCCTGCTGGTTGTAGCAATTAACAATCTAAGGCTTGCCTAAGCGTTTGGGTGAAATGATATCTATTACTGATTCAGAAAGTGAAAAAATAGTAACCATTTTAAAACGGACGATTGAGATCCTATAGACATGCTTTCTAAACCTCGTTAGATAAAGAAAGAAGGTTGTTTAAAACTGGTTCAGAATAGACTGAATTTTAAATTGATTACAGATCCTATAGGCAAGATATCTAATATTGCTCATTTTATTTATATATACATGATTTCTAAAAGGGGTACTGATTCTTAACCTTATGAACATGATATCTGATTTTAACCATTTAGATCCTAGGAACATGGTATCTAAATATGACCATAATATGCAGAATTTAAGCAAGTCCTATAGGCATACTCGCTAGATGCAGAACATGCAGAAATTTAATGAAAGCATGTCTTATAGACATGGTATCTAACGTGCAGAATTACAAATGCATAATTTAAACAAACGGATCCTATAGGCATGATTTCTAAAATGCAGAACTCAAAACATGTAGAATTTAAATAGCATATCCTATAGGCATGATTTCTACCCTCAAGCATGCATAATTACCCAACCCTTTTCACTAGCCAACCCAATATTTATTATAAATTATTACAGACTAGATAATGAATTACATCAGAAAAGTACAAAAGAAAAGTTACAACCAGAGGAAGCATAATTCTTGACTTCCTCTCTGAGTTATGGAATAAACCACCTCAAATGCCATTGATTCAAAGCCTTTCTTAGACCTGGGTGTGTCAGAGTTCCCTAAGGGTCTCAAAGGACCACGGGCAGTGCTTACACCCAGGTTCATGGAACTAGATTGGGATGAGGGCAGTGTGGAAGTGTCATCTCTTATGTGTCCAAGTTCAAAGGGAGCTCATGGGTTCCAAGGCAAGGCTCACACAAGAGCAGAAGAACCTAAGTCTAAGAAGATAGTGAAAGTGCAGGAACAGAGTCTTAAAACTGAGGGGATAAAAGAGAGGGGTAAAGGGTGATAGGGAGACAGTAATTAGTAACACACAGAGTTAATAATTTCATACAAAGGGGGTCAAGGGTGGGAAATCCATTGCAAGGAGCCCATGCATTTAGGCATGGATCAGCTTTGGTCATGTATAGCAATAGAAGGTGTTGACATGCCTATAAATCAATCAGAACACACAACATCTAGAGGAGATATTGTGGTTATGATCCTAGAGGGATCATGTTTGGGTCATGCATAGCAATGTCCAATGTTGTCATGCCCCAAACCAACCACAGACACTAAACACCTTGGGGATGGGGATTTAGGATTCACAAATCATAATAAATAATAGGCAAAAGCATTAACTCAAAACAGGAAGGGGCAGATTATAACATGTTTAATAATGGAACTTGGTTAAATACAAATAGGAGACAAACAAGGATGGAAGAGACAGTAAAGAAATATATTGTTGTTGGTGCATAATCTTAATTAGAGCATACCAGTAAGATGAAAATACAGAGAAAAAATATTCCCACAGCCTCGCCTCGGCTTTCAACCGGCTAGGTAAGGCAGCAATACAAGTAGCAGCAGAGAAAAGAGAGATATTTTAGTGGAGTGTGTGTTTGAACTCAAGTGTTTTTATGCCTTGTGTTCGTGTGTTTGAAAGAAGAGAAAGTGGGTATTTATAGTTTTGAAAGCATGTAAGATATAAGGCAATAAATGCACATATGGAAGTAATCAGCAATCAGAATCAATCAACCAAGTGATCCCCCTTTAATTGAGGAATCACCCTTTTAACGGGGCTAACATGTTTAAAAGAAGGAAAGAAAATCAGTTTGTAGGCCGACTGGTTATTACCATAAAAGAAAGTAGTAAAACATTGAGTACACAATAGAGTCCAAGTACAGATATACACTTTTTTTGGGGAAAAGATTCAACATGGCAATAAGTAAGGAAAGGGATCAATCACTTTAACAGACGAGTAAAATTAGAGTTAACAAAAAGAGAAGTTTTGAAATCAGTCCCAAAATTGAGAATCAATCAAAGAAGGGGCCTCTGCATATAAATAGAGTGCACAAACAATAGTCATGCGAGGCCAAACTATTGGCAAAAGAAATAACATACAATAGTAGCACAAAGTTAGTAGACAACAAATATTCGAAGCATGATAGTCACGTAGGTCAAGTTTCATTGAATCGGTAGTATAGAGAAAAGAAAAAAAAGGATAGGGTATCAGAAGCATGCAAAGGGTCAAGTGCGAAAACCCTTCTGAAAAGCATAGTCGAGTTTCAAAGATAGTAAGAACCCAGAATCAAAGGAATCACATAAAAAAAAGAGATGCTGAAACAAAGGAACTTCAAATCAAGTCAGGTATTCCAACGAGCAATTTCAAACCCAAAGACATAGGTTTTTTCTTAATAACATTCAATCTTAGAAGATGATAAAAATATAAATCGCACAAGCAGTTTCAGAAACTCGAATAGACACCAAATTTCAACATCGATCGAGTTTAAAGATGATGAACAAATAAATCAGACAATAATTAGCAAATAGTCTCAGAAACTCGAACGAACCCAAAGAAATTAGGGTTTTTATCACCCATCGAGCCTAGAGATGATAAACAAGTAAATCAAACAAACACTTAACAAATAGTCTCAGAAAACCCAAAAGAAATTAGGGTTTTTATCATGCTAAACTCAGAAAAGATTTTGAAAAGAAGAACTTGAAGGAAAACCCTAATCGGAAAAAGATGAAGAGTCTTTTTTCTGAAAGCAAAATTAAAGAAGCTTCGAGAAGGAATTTAAAAACTCATAGCAAGCATAGATCTAAAGTGAACCTGAAAGAAGTCGAGAAGCTCTTAGAGATTAGGGTTTCAGAAGAACCCCAAGTAACGAAAAGGTCTTGAAAGCCATCGATGTAAATAGGAGACTCAAGGGTCTGACTCGAATGGCCATGGCTGGCCGGAGAAAGGTCAGAGACGACCAGAGAACAGTCATCAAAAAATGACTGGACCAAGCCCCTTCAGAATCTGGTCATGAGACCATAGAAACGAACACGTAGAAACCATGTGAGGCTAATACAGGTCTTAGATGATCCTGGAGAGCCATGGATTAGGGTAGATTAAGGTGGCAGCGACTAAGGTTTGATGTTGTTGTAGAGAGGATTTGAGAGAGGAAGGGGATTCAGAGGCGGCGTATTGTGAGAAATGGATTAGGGTGAAGGGGTCATTTGGGTTAAAAAAGAAAAGGAGTAATGAGAGTCGTTGATCTACACGATCAACGGCTGGGATTAGGTGGGAGTCTGGGTCGGTCATTTAAACGGGTAAAGGGTCGAATTTGAAGAAAATTGGGTCGGGGTAAAATTGGGTTCCAATTGGGGTTCAAATTAAGCTATAATTGAAAGGTAATTGGGCTAGTTTTTAAATAGCCAATTTCCCCATTTATTTTATTAAAATAGCAAATTAATTTAAAAGTACTAAAATGATTTATAGCATATAATTATCAAATTAAAAATACTGGACTTAATTTTTATAGATATAAATGCAATTAAATCTAAAAGAGGCTAGTATTACAATTATATGCAATTTAACTTTAAAAATATTAAATAAATTTGTAAAAATGTACAAAAATTATTTTAGCTATATTTTGGCATAAATATGAGAATGCAATAAATAAATTACTAAAATGATAATTTTGGAAATATTATTAGGTTTTTATAAATAAAATAGGAAAATAAATTGGTTTACAAATCTTTAAAAATTAAGAAAAAATAATAAAACAATTGGACGTACTTATATATGCATAAATATGCTATTTTAAAAAGTATTTTGCATATTAAAAAATATACAAGGAAAAATTGGGTATCAACAGCTGTCCCTCTTTACTCGGGAAGGGTGAAAGAGTTGTCTGGTAAAGATATGATGGTCAATTTTGACCAAGCGGAACGGTTTGAAGAGGTTTAGGCCGCGCCCTAGATTCTAAGATGCCTACATATCCCTGGTCTTACAAGAATCAGGCCATATGTAGTTCGGGATCCATTGGCGGAGTATACCGATGAAGACTTTTCAAGAACGGATGCAATGTGTGGTAGGTTTGCGGGAATGTTTTAGGTTTGGTAGGCCTGCAAAAACTGGAGCGGGTTCGCTCCTGCCAAGATGGTTGTTGCTCGCCGGTTTTCCTGCAAATAAGCAATACAAGCATATATTGTGCGTAAAATTTTACATGATGCAAATTCCCATCGGACCATGAAGGTTGTCTTTGGACGGTTAGAATGACGTCCTTATACCATGTTGTCCTAGGCCATGAAGCATACAATAAAGGATTCGCAGGCCATGGAATGATGCTCTCGGGCTATGAGGATGATGCCTCCGAACCATGATGCCTTTGAATTGTCACACCCCTTTTTACTACTTCACTAACCCTCTTAAAAATATAAAAGGATTTATAAAGCTCAAAGGGTTTTCAATTTTGAGAGTGACAAATGATATGTTTAAAAGGATTTCTCTCAGAGTCGCCACCTAGCATTGTTTTTTGGTGTGTCAGGTCACCATTTTAGAAAAAAAAATTCCTTTTAAAACAATTGGACTCAAAACTAAGTCGGCACCAGAGATTTGGGTAAGGGGGTTCATTTGACTCGGAGAGAAGGTGTTAGACGCTCCCCAAGTCCCGTAACTAGTACGGTTGTGTACTCGATCAAGTTGGCTTTTGAAATTTCAAATTGAGGTGAAAAACACAGAAAAAGAAAAATAAACACACAAGCGGCTCGAGGTCGTCCACACCAAGATTAAATAAAATAAGAAAATAATAAAGCCTATACTATGCTCACTCTACTATGTCCGTCACGGCCTTCAATTACATCCACTTAGGGGTATACCCCTGATAAAAGAACACAAAAAATATATATACAAACTCTACGGGGCATTCCCCTGATGAATTAACTAACTAAAAGGGACGACCTCTCACCTCGAAGGAACAAATCCTAAAGAATGCCTACCCAGGTGTGGTCGGCCTAAACATGCTCCTAAAGATAATATGTTAAAAATGCAATAAATAAAAGAGAACTAAATAAAATCAGGATTCAATTCATGCTCAAATTCTTTTAATCTATTTAAACCCAAACCCCATGAGTCATTTCAAGCAATTTATCCATCTGTCCACACAAATAAAGACAAGGGAAACATCAGAAAAGTAACTATTCAAAAGACACATAATATTTGTAGCAAATGAACGGGCAGACATAGAATACCAAGAATTACTATAGGAGGGAAAGGGAAAGATAAACAAAATGAATTAAAACATTGATACGCACCATAACCCTATATTAATCCCAATTCATGTATATTATCTCTTAATTTGCTAAGAATAGAAAATTCCCAAATGACATCTAACCAGTAATCCTGTCGTAATTCAAGTCCAAAAATAAGATCAAAAATCAATTATATAAGCTATTCAGTTTACTTTCACCAAATGTAACTTCTATATATATATGAATTTCACTCAAAAACAAATACCTACTAGTTTTCGGTCCACTCCTAAACTCCACACAATTTTAGAATGCATTTTAAACTTATCTGAAGCTAGCAGCAAATAAGACCTTGGAAACGAATTTTGTCTCACCTTTTAAACGGAAAAGAATAGAAAAGGTACTAGTAAAAAGAGTTTTAACTTGAAGCAAGCAATGGAACTATTTCTTAATCTAAGAGCAAAATGTTAATGAAACGGATAACCAAAGGTGGAGTTGACAGAATATTCATGGAGATTCTAAGAAAATAAGTTATTTGTCCTTAATCGACCGAGATGCTATTTTAATGCTAGATTGGAGGGACCTGACATGGACTAAGCTTAAACTAGGTGAAGTAATTCTTCAAATAACAATTTGATCACACAAACAGTAAAGCCACGACTCAATGGCAAACATAATCACATACTTCAATCTCTAGCACAATAAGGATCAAGGAAATATGTTATTCATTTCTGCAGATTCAGATTCATTTATAGTCAAAGTATTCAACAAGAACAATTTAACAAATTAGATCAAGCGCAAAGACCAATAGCTCGACACATACGAACAAATCAAAATAGGGATAGAGGTTGTAGATGTGAACCTGAAGTTGAACTTTAATTAATAAAACTTCCTTAGTGACACGAGGAGGAATCAAAGCAGCGGTTGTGACCAAAATTCGTCACGACGATCAAACTACGAACAAAAGAAGCGAACCGAACCTCAAACGACGAAAATGACTCTGACCTGAAGCAAACTGAATGGCGGACGAATTTTTAGAACCCAAAATGCTCCAATCTAATCCCATGATCGAAAATGAAACAAAACTGAAAATATTTTTTTTTGTATTTTTTTTGTATTTTTCAAAAAAGAACGAACTTCTGAAGCAAAAATATATAACCCCAAGTATATATTTTCTGAACTGAAATGAAAACGAAGTTCAAAACCCTAGTTTTTCTCCAATTTTATCCAAAGAATCCTAGAACTTTTTTCCCCTCTTTTTGTCCAAAAATCCCAAATATATAGGAAGCCTAGAAGCTTCTCCTTCCTTCCTCTCCAAGAAAACTAAAAATCTTCTCCAAAAAAATCGAATTTTATCCCTTTTTGTGGCAATTAAGGACAAATGGATGGAGTAGATCGAGTGTAACTCGATCCTACGCCTCTCATTTTTTCGTTTTTGCCCAAAAAAAAATCAAAAAAGATGAAGAGAAAATGTGTTCTTCATGATTACGGACACGTGGAGGAAGGAGAGAGGAGTAGAGGGGGGGACCATGGGACTCGTTGAGTGAACTAGCCGATTTTTCGGTGAGTTGGAGGCGGGCAGAATCGGAATGGGGTGGGGCGCCGTTTGGTTAGTGTTTTAAGTTAGGGTTTTGGGAGTTATAATATGGTATTTATATGGGGTGTGGGAGTTAATAGGAGCCATTAGATTAAGAGGGGATGAAGGGTTGATATTTTAAATTAGAAATGGGGCGGGTCAAGAATGTATCCGGCAGGTCAACCGGGTAAGGGAGTGGGCTAGGCGGATTTGGGCCATGTCTTGGCCGAGTTTGGGCTCTAAAATTGGAGTTTTGACTCATTAAATCCATCAATTAAGAAAACTTAACCCTTTTCTTCTCTTTTTTTTAATGATTTAAAATTAATTCTAATTGATTAAATTAAACTATATCATGCTATGAAACCATATATATTATTTTTATATAAATTATTATATTCAAAATAAAAGTGAAGATCATGGTAAAAAAAAAAATATATTGCTATAAAAATATTAATAACTTAAACTAGATAGAATAAGATAGAACATGAAACTATTTTTGTATTTTTTCAATTTTTGTGCCTTAAAAATTGAATTAAAATTAGTAATAAAGTAAAATCCTATAGAAATAAACTCAAATAAATACCCTAAAATACTAGGACTATTAAAGGTAATCCTAATACGTGGGTCAAAAATTACATGTCTACAACTGCCCCTCTTTGACGGGAAACACAAAGTGTTTTCAGACAAAGAACAACAAGACATGTTTTTTGACCCGACCCTTATTTAGAGAGACCAAAACTAAAAGAAAAGAGAATGTGACCGAGCCCTGGTATTTGAGCTGCCTACATATCCTTGGTTATAAAGGAATCAGGCCACGTGTAGTTCATAAGTTAGAAGGACGATGGAGTACCAAGGTGGAGAGTCGAGTGAAGTGCCGTCGAGGTTCCGGTCCGCGATTCCTGCCATTACATCAAAAATAAAAGAAAAAATTATTGCAAAAGTAAAAGAAAAGTACAAGATCCTATCTACTTCTTGTCTTGAATCTTCCTTGAATCTCTCCTTGAGCCTTCATCGTGAAACTGAAAAATGGGCCCTGTTCTTCAGGCGGGCTCCTGATGCTTCTTGAATTTGTGAATTGAAAGTGACTCTGAAATGAATTCCCTTATTCTCCAGGTGAGCGCCTGCTATTAAAACTTGAAACGGATTCCCTCGTTCTCCAGGTGGGTGTCTGCCAATAGCTTGAACTTGAAATGATTTTCCTAATTCTCCAGGCAGGCACCTGATTCCCAAACTTGAATTGTATTTCCCTTATTATCCAGGTGGGCGCCTGATTGCCAAAGTTTGAAATATATTCCCTTGTTCTCCAGGTGGGCGACTGCTAATAAAACTTGAAACGAATTCCCTTGTTCTCCAGGTGGGTGCCTGATTACCAAAAACTTGAATTGTATTCCCCTGTTATCCAGGTGGGCGCCTGATTACCAAAACCTTGAATTGTATTCCCTCGTTATCCAGGTGGGTGCCTGATTACCAAAAACTTGAATTGTATTCCCCTGTTATCCAGGTGGGCGCCTGATTACCAAAACCTTGAATTGTATTCCCTCGTTATCCAGGTGGGTGCCTGATTGCCAAAAACTTGAAATGTATTCTCTTGTTCTCCAGGTGGGTTCCTGATTGTCGAAAACTTGAATTGTACTCCCTTGTTATCCAGATGGGCGCCTGATTGCCAACAACTTGAATTGTATTCCCTTATTATCCAGGTGGGTTCCTGATTGCCAAAAACTTGAATTGTATTCCCTCGTTATCCAGGTTGATGCCTGATTGCCAAAAACTTGAATTGTATTCCCTCGTTATCCAGGTTGATGCCTGATTGCCAAAAACTTGAAATGTATTACCTCGTTCTCCAGGTGGGCGCCTGCCATTACAACAAAACAGACAAAACAAAAGAAATATTTCTGCCCCAGTTTGGGATCTGGGTATATTTGTGAGTGTTAATCGAATCATGTTACATACAGAGCTCTAAAAATTTAAAAACTAAATCCCATTATCCAGGAGGGCCCTGAAAACTTCAAATTAAATCTCATCTTAAGAGGGTCCTGAGAACTTTTAAAATTAAATCCCATTATCCAGGAGGGTCCTGAAAATTTTAAAATTAAATCCCCTTATTTAGGAGGTCCTAAGAACTTTTAAAATTAAATCCCATTATCCAGGAGGGTCCTGAAAATTTTAAAATTAAATCCCATTATCCAGGAGGGTCCTGAAAACTTTAAAATTAAATCTCATTATCCAGGAGAGTCCTGAAAATTTTAAATTAAATCTCATTATCTAGGAGGGTCCTGAAAATTTCAAAATTAAATCCCATTATCCAGGAGGGTCCTAAAAATTTAAAATTAAATCCCATTATCCAAGAGGGCCTTGAAAATTTAAAAATTAAATCCCATTATCCAAGAGGGCCTTGAAAATTTAAAAATTAAATCCCATTATCCAGGAGGGTCCTGAAAACATGGAAACTAAATCCCACTATCCATGAAGGTCCTGAAAATTTTAAAATTAAATCCCATTATCCAGGAGGGTCCTGAAAACTTTTAAAATTAAATCCCATTATCCAGGAGGGTCCTGAAAACTTTTAAAATTAAATCTCATTACCCAGGAGGGACTTGGAAATTTTAAATTAAATTCCATTATCCAGGAGGTCCCGAAAATTTTAAAATTAAATCCCATTATCCAGGAGGGTCCTGAAAAGTTTAAATTAAATATCATTATCCAGGAGGGTCCTAAAAATTTTAAAATTAAATCTCACTATCTAGGAGGGTCCTAAAAATTTTAAAATTAAATCTCATTATCCAAGAAGGTCCTGAAAATTTTAAAATTAAATCTCATTATCCAAGAAGGTCCTGAAAATTTTAAATTAAATCTCATTATCCAGAAGGGTCCTAAAAACATGGAAACTAAATCCCACTATCCAGTATAATCCTGAGAATTTTAAATTAAATCCCATTATACAAGAGGGTCCTGAAAATTTTAAAATTAAATCCCATTATCCAGGAGAGTCTTGAGAACTTTTAAAATTAAATCCCATTATACATGAGGGTCTTGAAAATTTTAAAATTAAATCCCATTATCCAGGAGGGTCCTGAAAATTTTAAAATTAAATCCCATTATCCATGAGGGTCTTGAAAACTTTTAAAATTAAATCCCATTATCCATGAGGGTCTTGAAAACTTTTAAAATTAAATCCCATTATCCATAAGGGTCTTGAAAATTTTAAATTTAAATCCCATTATCCAGGAGGTTCTGAAAATTTTAAATTAAATCCCATTATACAGGAGGTTCCTGAAAATTTTAAAATTAAATTCCATTATCCAGGAGGGTCCTGAAAATTTTAAATTAAATCCCATTATCCAGGAGGGTCCTGAAAATTTTAAATTAAATCCTATTATCTAGGAGGGTCCTTAAAATTTTAAAATTAAATCCCACTATCCAAGAGGGTCCTGAGAATTTTAAATTAAATCCCATTATCCAGGAGGGTCCTGAAAATTTTAAATTTAAATCCCATTATCTAGGAGGGTCCTGAAAACATGGAAACTAGCTCCTATTATCCAGGAGGGTCGTGAAAAGCCGAGAATGAACTTGTCTGGGCCATGCTCTCTTCTTGGAGGATCTTGAACAAAATTTCTTGCCCTTGAACCATGCTTTCTTCATGGGAGGGTCCCTGTGGATTAACAAATTTTCTTGCCCCTGTTTCAGACAAATAAAATTTTGTTAGTTTGAAAACATGGTAGTTAGTTTGTGACATCATTGCTGAGTGTCTGCTTCTGCCACTACCATGCTTCATTCTGATTAGCTGATTTGGGCCAGCAAGGAATTGTTCGACCTTTTGATTGGAGCTGGACCACAAAACCTCTGACTGGCCTGATTCTCTCACACTCACTTGTTGCATTGTGTTTTCATTTTGAAAGTCGTTCCATCCTTGTATTTTCTCAAAATTCAAGATTCAAATGATTGCTTGAACCTCAGTTATCACCATACTTCTTATTCTAAATCATGTCAATTGTGATGTGCCTAGCCGAACTCCGCTTTGTGCAATTTAAAAGCTGGTAGTAGACTTTGGAATCCTTTCCTGCTTGTTCAACAAGGGTTAACTCGAAAGAGACTCATAAAGTTAGACTGAAAGAGCAAAGTGAAATAATTTTTGGCAAAAGGAACAAAGGAAAATTTTGAACACAGATGACTATGTGAAGAAGAAAAAGGGGAAAATGAAGACTTATCTGAGTGAAGCGGCTAGCTCCAATAATCATGACATGCATTTCGGATTGATCAGCCTAATCTGTCCAACCAATCATATTTTCAGTTCATGTTATGTCTTCATACTTCAAAAACCGGGCTTTTCACTGGTCCAATTACTCTGTAAAGTCATGAGCCTCATTCGACTTGCAGTGCCCTGAAGGGTTTTCACCGACAAGCCTCTCTCATTTGTTCATCTCTCAACTCACCATCGCCTTACGGTGCCCGTGAGGGTTTTCACCAATAAGACTCTCATTTTATTTATTTTCCTTTGTGCCCATGAACAAAGTATTACCCATAATGTAAATCACACCTCTATCTCGCTTGACTTGGCATCTTCAAAGATTGATCAGAAGGTCTTTCTTTAGACCGCAATATAGGCTTTTGGATAGGGTTAGAAAGACAGGGTGGCATGAAGGCTCAAAATAATTTAAAATGAAAAAGGTTCAAAATTACAACTTTTGGAATCAGATCTTTTTGAAAACCAAAACTGCTGCCCCAATTTCTTTAGGTCTGGGGAATTTTGGATTTTTATTTTGATGGGACTAAACAGTGTAAGACTGCCTATGTATCCTTAAAAGGAATCAGGTCGAACGTAGTTCTGAATAAAGTCGTTTGTTTTTGTTGCTTTTCTTTCTTTATTTTTCTCTTTTTTTTCTTCTTTTCTTTTCTTTTCTTCTTTCTTTTTTTTCCTTCTTTTTTTTCATTTTTCTTATTTTTTCATTCATTTTTATTTTTTTTTCATTCTCTAATTTTACTACTGATTCCAAAAGAGGGGTATGAAAGAAAATAAATAAGGCTCAAAAG